AAATGACTGCGAAAAACAACCACACACCTCCTCGGCACCGGCTCTGTGAAAGACTCGTGAAGATGAAAAACCACTAGAGTATGGTAGGTTAATTTTCATTTTTGACTCTTTTATCGCTTGATGCGTTGTATGCTGCTGTTATTTGCGCGATATAAAGCCAGGTTTAAGTTTCCGTAAGAATATCTCTGTTTCCCGAGTGGAGCTGTATTAACCGGTCTTTTCCTCCGGCCGCTGCGCCGCTGGCAGAGGCAGACCAGTGGGGAGATGAGAGTCACAGAGGTACGTTAAAACACATGTATACACTTTTTCTTCATCGTCTTGTATGAATTATTTTAATGTTACTTGCTCACTTTCCTAGTAAAGCTGTGCTAACCAGTATTTTCCTCCCGCAGTGCGCTGGCAGACCGGCGGGGAGACTCGTGAAGACGAAATAAAGCAGGAAGAGAACATTAAATTGTTAGATCAGCTTTAAAACACATGTAATCACCTTGTTTGTTTTATACCAATGCTATCTGTAAGGTATAAATGCGTTTGGGTGAATAAATGTCTGTAAGAACATCGGATGGATTGTATTTGTGTCATTTTGTTAGGTTAATGCTTCAGCTACAGATGATGTGTTGCGCAATTGTTAATTGGGTTTCTTTCTTTAGTAATGGCATTCATTCTCGCTACATAAGATACCTGTCTGTTATGTAGTGCCCTGTTATACTGCATTACTGTGTAATATTTATGGTTTCTATAGCCGTGGCATCATTATGATGGTATGAAGAGATGGATTAATTCATGTAGGACGCCACTGAAGGCCTAGGTGTAAAATGCACGACCCGCCACTGGTTTCCAGTCAATGTGTTTTTTAAAGTTTTTTCTATTCATGAGGACACTGCAAATAGGGCATCTTCTTTTAATGACAGGCTGTACACGGACCCTGCCTGAGGAAACAATAGTAGTTGGTAAGACTGCCGGTGTGGTCACCGTTACACTTGCTGGTGATGGGTTTCTTTCTTTAGTAATGACATTCATTCTCGCTATATAAGATACCTGTCTGTTATGTAGTGCCCTGTTATACTGCATTACTGTGTAATATTTATGGTTTCTATAGCCGTGGCATCATTATGATGGTATGAAGAGATGGATTAATTCATGTAGGACGCCACTGAAGGCCTAGGTGTAAAATGCACGCCCCGCCACTGATATATATATATATATATATATATCCAGCTAAATTCTGGTGAAAAGACCCAAGCAATGCCTCTACTGAAAAGGAGATTTTAACAGTTTCTTTTAAGTTTTTTTTTCTTTTTACTGAGTGAAAAGTGAAAGACAACATTTGAAACCAAACAGAATGATGGCATTCCATGTTTGTTTGTTTTTCTTTTTACAACAGAGAAAATATAATAACTTGTAAAAAAGGGCTGGCTTGACTGGCTTCCACAAAGGCCAAACCTGAACCCCACTGAACACCTTTGGGATGAATTGGAACGCAGATAGCAAGCCAGGCCCAGACCCAACATCAGCACCTGACTTCACTGATGTTCTTGTCTCAATGCGTGCAAAATCCCCACAGCTGCGTTCCAACGTCTAATGGAAACTCTTTCCAGAACAGGGGAAGTGGACCAATCCCATGGTTTTGAAATTAAATGTTAGACAAGTACACCGTGGTTGTGGGTGTCGTGGTTGTAAGATGTCCACTTGCATTGCCACTTTTTCAGTGGCCTAGAAATAGCTGTTTAATTTTACATAACACAGGTCAAGGTGACTGCCAGTTTGAGATCACATGACCAGTAGTGTCATTGTTGGAGTTTGTATAATTGTAATGATATTTTTCAAAATTGTTGGTTATTTCTTAATGTGTAAAATGACTATGTGTAGCTACTCCTCTAAAGCAAAATGGCCTTGCAAGTTTAAGACTTGACAGACTATGTGGATTCCATATAGTAACTCAGGCTAACGACTGTTGTTTCAAGTCCTGTTGGGTTCTGAGATGTTCTTTTCTTACTCATTTGAAATATGTATTTTTTTTATCTTTTTTTTTTTCTCGTAACACCTGTTCCGATCTGATCGCTTTCTGCGTGTCAGCACAATGTTTTTCTCATGGCCTTGTGACCACTTCCTCGTCGTCTTTTTCCTATCCCGCCCCTCGTGACAAGTTCAGCTCAAGCTATATGCCAACAACTCAGCAGCTGTAAGATAACTGAACTGTAACTGTCCCTCGGTGCTCGTTTACCTTATCATCAGTCCCTAAAAGGTTTAACCCAAAGGTAATTAAGCTCTTGATCCGGCTTATGGCACGATGTAAATGGACGCCGTAATGGAAAACTGTCGCGTCATTTAGCAACAGGCGCTTCTGCTGTATTCGGCTGGGCTTCCCCATATGGCAGCGCACGGGGGAGGGATTCCTTCTACGTCAGCCAAAGCGCTTCATGGCGTCATTGACGGAGCTTCCTCTTTTTGGTGTCTGTGACTGAGACAAGACACATCCTTTCTTTTCTCCGACCGCACGGTCTAAAGAGGAAGAGCGAATCTAGAGAGATCGACGGCGCGGCTCCCGCTCCTGTCCGCGCATCACAATGTGGAAGAATGAAGGAGATTCCGCGGCTGCCTTGAGAAATAACAGGCTCGTGTGCAAAAGTCTTTGAACAGAAAAAAGATGCCAACTCGGAAAGAAGAGGTAAAGGCAATTCTGGGTATACAGACTGCGAGATGGAAATGGGCAAAAACACGGAGAATGTCAGGAAACACCGATAAAAGACTTCAGCACGATAAAGCGTGTTTTAGACTGCAACCTACCGAGAATATGCAGTAAATGTCACATTTAACCCCAAAATAAAAAGAAAGGAATACAAAAATACATTTTGATTGAATAATTGATTTTATTCATAATATATTTTATCTTTTTTTTTTTTTGCATGACTGTAAAAAAAAAAAATTTAAATCCTGATTATATTTGTTGCATTGTCTTTATGATTTAAAATAAAAAATAATTAATGTATTTCAAATGGGCTTCATTTTCTTTATGCATATTTATAGGCTATTTATTTTGGATTGAAATATGACTTGGACAAGAGATTCAGTCTTCAAGAAGAATAAAAAAGACATTGCTGGAATAGCTCCATAAATCATGCATAGGTAACTGAGAATAAACTAATTCCGAAGATGTTTTTATTATGCTTTGCCTACGTGTGAAAAACCTAAATTGGAAGACAAACAGATAATAGTTGCACTTTCAGCCTATATTGACCTAATATAATCACAGGTCAAGCACAGGCAAAATATTTTCAATCTGTATTCCATCTCCAAAGTGTTGAAGTCAGTTAACTTACCGCGCAGTTCCTGCTATCATGTTGGCCTACTCTGAATTCTTTTGATGACCTGATGTCCTTGTTTTTAAACTGGATACTGTGTCAGCGGCCTGCATTTCATGTTATTTGGCCACCGGCACTTGAATCAACCTATTCAGCAAGACTGGGTCACTCATTCACTGCATATTACTGAAAGGTTATACTCGGCCATGTGGCAGAGGAAAATGGATTATGACATGGAAACTCTCTGTCTCAGGTGTGAAAGTACTATGTGAGAAACAACTGATATGGACTGCCTCTATCATCACCTAGTAGCCCACTCAGCAAGCATACTGTATCTGGATCAGGACATGCTCTTTAAAATAGCAGCACAAACATCTCACCTTGGTTGATGGTTGGCTGTTGATTTATTGTACCTAAAAGGTAGCCAACTAGAGTATAATTGTTTAGTAGTATGAAAATTGACACCTACAACATGCAGAGACAGGATGTTTTTACATTTGTCAGGAGTTACTAGTGCTCAAAATATCAGATGATGGATGTCAATAAAGCTTTTTTCTTTAAATATCTTTCGTCATATGAATTATTTCCGCAAGTTAAAGTGAAACAGCAGTATGACATGCATAAGGTCAGATTGTTGACCTTATAGATGAACATGTCTGTAGTAGATAAGGCAGACAGGGCCATAAACACCATAGACACTCCATAGTATTCTGAATAGCTGTATCAATATGGATTTTTTTTTCAATATTTGATTTATACAATTTTATTCCCAATCTAGAATATTTCATTACATACTTTTTATTTGTGATCAACAGAGTGCAATTTTAATATACGCTAATCTTTGTTCACAAAAATTGTCCTGAGTAGGCTACTAACTGGAAGTTCAAGAGTAGCCTAGTGCAAAGTCCAGGACACACTAAAATAATATTTGTGACTTGAAGTTGGTTTATTTTCATTCCCAGATAAAAGGAAAACCTTTAAGCATGAGAATCACCGCATGGCACAAGGGACGTGGCATTTACTGGCACTGTCAATCCCTCACACACCCTATATTGCAGTAGCCTACTCAGACAGCGCTAACTTCCGTTTTCATTTTTTCTTTGAACACTTTCATGTTTTGACACGTTCAGGGTGTGCAAGTGTAGCCCTACCCTCTCCTAGTGGGCTCGATGTGGTTTTCTTTAAGAGGAAACTGTCTCGTGCGGCAGCAATAATAACTGAGAATTTAAGGGAAAATGTAAAAAAAAAAAAAAAAACATAATGGATTTACCCAGTGTAATATATTTCTAAAAAATATATTCTAACAATATATACGTATATTGGCTACATAAAATGATATTGCTAACATACTTTTTTATTTGTTTTAATCCTCTTAATGAATCCTGTTTAAAACGTAAAAAAGCTTTGTGTGTTTCGTTTTACTCGGATGCTCATCTTTAATCATCTGCTAGTTATTTGTGTCTTCTCACTATTTTTAACTAAATTCAACCAGTTGCAGTCAGAGCAGCTATAATTAGAACAATAAACGTGCGGATTGTTTGCGTCAATGGAATCCCGTGTGTGCGTCATGTCTTTTGACTGCGAGCCCTCTGATTGGTCGGCAGCCGGAAAGATTTGCCAAGGATCTCCGCCCCTGCATGGCCATATTTGCCAGTGGAACGCCTCGAGAGGATGCACCTTTGACGTAATGGCACAATAAAGTAGTCGCTATATATCTGCTCGCTCACAGAAATTTGAGAAAACAGTCTTGTCGTGGCCGGGGACATTTATACATGGTTATCCATCACTTGGAATACGGACACTTATAAGTCCCTCACCACAACACATTTTCAGGTACGTAAATATTTTTGCTAAAATTCGGAAGTCAGTTAATACTCCTTTCTTTCTGTTTTTATGCTTCTTTTAAACCATATACGAACAGCAAATGAGTTTGCAGTAATCCAACGTATGTGTGCGTGTTCATAAACTGAAACATTTATGCTGCTGAGGTCTAATTTTATGTAGTTTGTATTCTTTACTACACTTCTTTACTGCGAGTTATTCAGAAGCAAATAGCCTAGTGCGAATCCAGATTGAGTTGAAAGCGCAGAATGAGTCGGCTTCTGGAATTTAAAATGTAACAAGATGTGAATGTGAGAAGATAAGAAATGTGAACCCGTAAAAAATTAAAGATTAGACCGAGAGGGTGTGTGTGTTAGTGGTGCGCTTCTGCTCGCGCGCTGTCTCGCTGCAACAGGTGCTCGCGCAACAACTTATCTGCATACACTCTCTTTTTAAACCTGACTGTACTTAGGCTATTTTTTGAATGATACATAAATATATTAAACGGTTCATATAGGTAAAAGACAAACGACAAACCATGAAAGGAACAATGTAATTTAAACAAGATCTTAGAAATCTTATTATCGTATCCATATGAAAAACGTTTATTTTCTACACATTTTGATTTACTCTAAAAATGTCAAGTGGCGTAGCATTTACGTACAAAGTAGTTAAATACTTGACCTTTGATACACAACTTAATTATTTAGTGTACACACACAAAAGATGTGCCTTTTTGTATAAAATAATAATAGTAATGACCTTGACACTCAGGGTCTGAAGGGGGTCCTATCTGTTTATTTATTTACTTTTATTATTATTATTTTGTAAACAAAATGACCTGGCTTCCTGCATGCTGGTTATGCCACACTGACTGATTTTTCACAATATGGATAATATTCTAAAACAAAATTGCTTCACTGATTCTTTTTAAATAATTATAAAATATTATGCTAAACAATAATTTTTTTCAATTGTCAGACAGTTACACTACCTAGACATTTTTGACTTTAAGAAACATATCTATTGCTAATGCACTGACTGGTATAGTCGGTGCATTATTAGTCAACATAATTGAGGCAATGAAATGTCCAGGGGTCAAATGATCATCAGGTCCCATGTTCTCACTTTGCTCTGGGTGCAAGGTCATGAATGTCTGTCAACTGCTGAGCCAGAATTGTCTTTTGCATTTACCAAGTGCATTAAATTACTTTCTGCAGAATTACTCTTTTAAAGCAAGTTAATAGTGGCATGTTTTCCAAATATTTCCATTGCCAAATTGAATACATGTGGAAGGATGTTAGAAATGTATTATGATTGAATTTAAGCCCTTTTTTCACTGCCTACAGTTTTTTTTTCGTCATTTATCTTATCACTTACCTTATGGAACACTATGTCTGTGTTTGCTGGGGAAATTTTAGTCTATCTAAAAAAGTTCCATATACATACACCGCCCACTCACAATCATACACACCCTCTCAGTGAGGCAACCCACGTGTCATGTTTGTCTGACGTTCTTAATGTGGTAACACAATATTAAGCATGGCTGCCCTTTCCAGCCAGATGGCTCTCTAAGTTTTCTCATAAATATAAAAGGCACTTTAGAGAACTGTGTCTATACAGACTCTTTGGTCGGCGAGTAAGTCAATCTAGGTATAGGTTAGGATGCGTTATTCAGCTCTTGAGGCGTTTGATGTTTCAGCAGCTATATCTACGGTATTGAAAAGTAGATGTTGTGGTTCTGTTCTACAGAAATGACCTGTGTTCAAAGTCAACATGGAGTCCAGACCTATGAGAGCTCCCTCTTCAGCTCAGAGTTTTTGAATCCTGACTTCACCTCCAGGTTGGCTATGGATGTGACTGACCAGCGGGACCAGCTCTCCACACCCTCCCTACCCAGCATCACCTCTCTGGTCGGAGGCTACGTTGGGGAGTTTGATACCTACTCATGCCAGATCGCCACGGGAGCTGCTTCTGCCTGTCCGGGCGGCACCTCCGGGCAGGACTTGTTCAAGCTGGACGACCTCCAGGTGTACGGCTGTTACCCAGGCACATTCGCTTTGAGTTACCTAGACGAGACGCTGTCCTCTTCAGGTGGGTCAAACTGCTTTGGAAGTCCAGCTTCTGTGCCATCGCCCTCTACCCCGGGATTCCAGCCCATGTCTGCCTGGGACAGCACCTTTAGTCCCTGCTCCCCTGATGAGGGCTGCTGGGGTTCAGAGAAGCCTCTGAACCAGGCCACATCTTTCTTCACGTTTGGGCACGACGAGCTTTCTCCTTTGGGACAGCTCCATCCACAACACCCAGATCAGGATCCCTTTTCTCATTCCCAGCAACATGGTTCTCCACTTCCCTTCAGCCCACTCAGCCTGGAGCAGGGCAGTCGGGATGGCTCAGGACTAATGGATGGACACCTGTCTCCTAAAGTAAGGAGCCCCACAGGAAACGAAGGACGCTGTGCAGTGTGTGGAGACAATGCTTCCTGTCAGCATTACGGGGTGCGCACCTGTGAAGGATGCAAAGGCTTTTTCAAGGTGAGAGAGTGCGAGCATACTATACTTGATTAGCACTTATAATAATTTAGCAGCAAGACATGTCATGTCAACTCACCTCAGCATTTTAGATTTGTGCATTAGGCTCATTTGACTGACTAGGTTTCCTTTTTGAATTTTGTAGCGCACAGTACAGAAAAACGCCAAGTATGTTTGCCTCGCCAACAAAGACTGCCCAGTGGACAAAAGGCGGAGAAACAGGTGCCAGTTCTGCCGCTTCCAAAAGTGCCTAGCTGTGGGAATGGTGAAAGAAGGTGAGAATTAAAAATATTATATTAATATATAAAAAATGACATAATATCAATTAGTTCAAATTATATAAAAAAATTTAAATACCCACATACCCTCAAAGCTATTTTAATAAGTGTACATATTGTCCCCTCTGTGTAGTTGGAGAACAGACAGCCTGAAAGGTAGAAGAGGTCGTCTGCCGTCCAAGCCAAAAGTGGTTCAGGACTCATTGTCTGTCTCTTCACCTGTAAACATCATCGCCTCTCTC